CGCAGCAATCCAGCAGGAAAAATAGCATCGTCTGCAGCGGGCTTTAAATCCCAATTAAATCGCGACTATTAACCTCAAATCCCAATATGGCGTTCACCCCCCCCCCCTCCCTCTCTATGACTGTCGGGTCACGGGTGGATTCAGCAACGTAATTGAGATTCGCTTCTCTCTTGGATGTCATCGACGGTCATGTGGTGTTAGTATTGTTGAAAAGCCCTACCCGGTCGATGTCCGGTTGTCGCGTTATTTCATCGAGAATTTCTTGCAGGAGTTTCAAGAGAAAGGGGCAAGATAAATGCAAGGAAGACCGAAGAGAGACGAGAGTGAATAATTGTAAGCTACTAGTGAAACGTAAGAACAAACTTTACATTTAATCTTGCATTTAACATTGCGACTATCGAGCTGGTGATGTCGCACTATAAACGAATCGATGTAATTTGTTGCAGATGAGCGATCAGGATCCAACGAGTATTATTAATATGATAAAGGACCTACGTTCCGGAGCCGAGTCCTACCGCAGAAGCGTCGGGGTGCCAGTGCGCTTCTCGGGGACCGGTTACCTGTCTTCGAAGTTTAACGAGAGCTCGGACGACGACGTTACTTCACCCAAACAGCTACGACTGGATGAATCCGACTCGTCCGTAAATAATCAGACTCAATCCGACTCTGTCCCGGGCAGTCCTTGGGAATGGCGACGCATGAAAGGGGAGGTGGGAGGAGTGTAATACGAGCGTGACGTTCAGGTGGGTCTGGAAGGAGACATGGATCTTAGAAAGTACGCTTCCATACAGGTTATATCGTTGAAGACCAGGCTGACGCATCAAGAGGCAGCTGTGCAACAGCTGCACAATATACGTAGGCAGATGGAAGAAGTGTTCGAGAAGGAGAAGGGTCTCTTGCAGGTCCAGGCAGAGAAGGATAAGCAGACCATTCAACAGCTGGAGGTCCGACTCGACGTTGCACGCCGGACAATTCAGGACGCGAGGGAGTCGCACGATACCGCGGAGAAGGAATGGTCCCAGGTAAGTGTCCTTTATGTACACGGCATGTTTCCATGGAGTCAATCTTGACGTTCTGCATTTGATTAGACGAGAAACAATTTGGAGAGAAAGATAGCGTCGTTATTGAACGAAAATGCAGAATTAGCCGAGAACCTGAGAAGCGCCTCCGCAAACGAGAAGTCTCCTCCTCCCAGCGATATCGGTGAATCGAGCGAATTGCAAATGAAACTGGAGACTGCGGAAGCCAGGGTGGCAGCGCTGGAGGAGAGGACGAAGGAATATCACAAGGTGCAGCAGGACTACGAATTGCAGAATGTGGAGCTGCAGAGTATGCAAATGAAGTTGGAGAAACTCGAGTCGGAGAGGGCACTGTGGGAAGAGGGTAAGCGATTGGTGGGAAGAGCCGCGAGAGCGAACGACCTCGAGAAAGAGTTGAATGTGGCGAAGAAGACGATTGCGGCGCTGAAAGAGTCAGTCAGGGGGAAGTTACTGTTGGAAGAAAAAGTGGACAATATGACCAAAAGGTACCCTTTTGACGCGGTTCGAGACGTCACGCGCGAATAACAATACGTGATGTGTTGCAGGCTGGAGCACACCGAAGAAGTAGAGCAACGAGTGGCGGTGTTGGAGGTGAAGCGATCTGAGCTTGCACTTCGTTTGCAGGAGTACGAAACGATTGGCATCACTGGCGGGCCAACGGCAGTGAAACGAGAGCTGAACAGACTTCAGCAAGCTGAGGTGGACCTGAGAGCGGAGGAGGGCCAGCTCAGGTCGAGATTGGACGCGGTTCTGCGAGAATCGCAGAATCTATCCAAGGGTTGCGAGGACGCGAGGAAGCTGGCAGCCGATATGGCGTTATCGAAAGAAAAACTGAGCAAGCTCGTCAACAGGCTACAGAAGAAGATGATCCTCGTGACTAGAGAGAGGGACAGTTACAGGCAGCAGTTGGATTTGTACGAGAAGGAGATGACGGTGGACAGCAACAATGCGATGACTGAGAGGATACCAGCTTTGGAGCGCGTTATAGACGGATATAGGTATTTTCTCGTGTACTTTTATACTTTGCGACTCCTCTTCGAGTTAAATTACTTGGTAGAGAAGAATATTTAAAACTTTCTCAGGGACTTGGTCAGCAAATTGGAAGCGGATCTTCAAACGGCTGAGTCTGGCGTTCAGAAGAACGAATGCAATAAATTGAGGGCGGAGATCGAGCAGTTGAGAGGCGAACTTGAACATCGCGCGTTGAAGGGCGACTTCAACTGCAACGCCCGAGTTTTGCACTTCACGATGAATCCCACAGCGATGGCGGAGAAGCAAGCTGAGGAGAAACAAGCGGCTCTGTTACGAGAAGTGGAGGAGCTTCGTGCCATGGTGGCGTCGGGGAATTATGGAGCGACCGTTTCGTCATTGCAGACGCAAGGTAAATAGATACATTAAAACATATTCTTTTACCTCGTACTCTTTATGCTAGAATAATGTTTGTTTTTGTCTATAATAAAAATATAATAGAAATCGTGGAGCTGAAGCAAACGCACGAAATAAAAATAGCGCGTTTGAAGGAAGCTTTTAAGGCGTCCTCGCAAGAGTACCGTCAAGCGTGCTATCAGCTGTTCGGTTGGAGGGTGGACCGAACGAAAGAGGGCTGTTACAAGCTGTCGAGTCAATACGCAGAGTCACCGGACGATTTCCTATTTTTCCACGTAGGTGAAGAGGGTGTAGAAATGTTGGAAACCGCCTTTTCTGCGAATCTGGATAGCTTGATCGAGCAATACTTGCAAAGGCAGCACAGTGTCCCCATGTTTCTCAATGCTGTACAATCTGATCTCTTCAGCCAGCAAACAGTGCCAAATGTTATGACATAATATTATCTCATGAACAAAACTAATATTCTTATTTATAAGATTCAGTGGATTTCAATGTACAATGAAGATAATAAATATATTATAGGTAAATATATTTTTTTATGATATCTGTATAGAACTTTGACTATGTAACTATGGACTGCTAGCAGCTATCTTTTCCTACAGTAAAAAATCTGGCCAACATCTGCAGTGCCTCCAGAACCAAAATACAGCAAACAATGAAACTTGTGAGCAAAATCATAAGTGTGCGATACCGCCGGTCCGTCGTTTTTAATAGCTGCCTTATACTCTTAATTCTGTTTTATCCAATCAGCACAAATGTTTGTTTTATAACATTAATCGTTATTCATGCATGATATATCATTAAAATATATAAAAAAAGCTATTTAGTAGCACAATTTGTTAATGTTTTCAATATTTGTTTCATATTTAAATATTAAAAGAAATTATATAAAAATATACGCAAATCATTATACAATATTATAAAATTATATTATGAAAAACTAGAAACTATTAAAAAAAATACAACGCAATCACGATACAATATTACTGCAATGGATAAGTTAAATGGTTAAAAATTAAAATACAATTTATATTTTCTAAAAAGAGAAAATAAAAATATAAAACGATGTCTACAGATTCAAATTATAATTATATTATATATTTATATAATATAATCCCCTCACCGTACTGAAATTAAAATTCTTATTGCGAAAAGAAAATAAAGCCACGTGCTTTTTGGATTTTTTATTTAAATAAGCCGAATTATATAATAATATATAATAAATTATATAATAATAATGTTACACCCTTTTACGATGCAATATATATTTCATTTTAACGTCTTGTGTCTTACGTCTTGAAAACTGTAGACTCATTTGAAATCAATAACGGACCGACGGTATCATACACTTATTTATCTCACAAGTTCTATTGTTTGCTGTATTTTGGTTCTGGGGGCACTGCAGATGTTGGCATTAGCTAAAAATTACTGCAGCAGTCCATAGTTATATGTATGTATAGTCAAAGGTACAGAAAGCTTTATTCGTACATCAATTTGTTCAATGTCCACGTGAATTATTTATTATTCATAATATAAATTGTATAATAATTTTCACGATCGTCGATATATTCCAAATCTGTTTTCTCTTATGCCGATAATACATCTTCAGTTGCTACGAGATATACTATGTCATAACAGTTAAATCAAGTTATAAATTTTATTATAGCCATCAAATAAAAATATACAATAAAATTATATTCCCTGTTTAAAATATTTTGTAATAGGATATTATACATATAATATAAAATATTATCGGACATAATAAATATCTCTCTAGAATAAAAAGCCCAATGTGTAAACTTTTTTTTTATATTTGAGATAAAATAATTTTTAAAGTTAACAATTTTAAGATATTCAATAATATTTAATAATGTTTTGGGAATACTAATAGAAACACGTCATGAAAACGTTGAAATGAAAAATGTTCCCTTTCACTTGACTTACTTCACGTTACTTACGTTATACATATAAAAAAATTGCTAAATGTCTCCAAACAAAGATGTCGAAACTCAATTATATAGGCACAAATTTTCATTAGTCTTCGCATCTCATATCGAGCGACTTTTAAATGCAGAGTTCGGACTTAATCTCCCCAGGATTCTTTGATAAAAGTGTCGAGGAGACTCATCGAACTCTTATCACGCATAAAAATCCTATGAGAGGGACGTCGAAGTTGAAAATCGCGTCGGGCCATCGGCGGCTGTCCCGCGGGAGACGTTACCGTCTTAGACACCCTCGTACGTGCCTAGAAAGGGGAGAGACCTGTCCCAGAAGAGCGATTCCCATTGCTTTATTCGCCGAAGGAGCCCTGATGGTGGTCTTCATTAGTGAGTAAGCCACTATACCTTCGCCTACTATCCGTGAACAAATGCGCACTCACACATCCCTGAAATTTAGCGCTCGTCTGCGTGTAAATATGTGTGTATCTGGGTGACCAAAAGCATTTCGTGGTAACGAAAAGGAAGAGAGACAGAGGACCGAGGGGAAAGTGGAGGGGAAGAGAATGGTCGTCTGTGCTGGAGCTGACGACGGGAACTCGATATAACGGTGCCAGCTGCGAAGGGACTCGAGTCGACGGGAACTCCCGAGCTGAAACTCCATTATCCTTAATTATAATCGCGTTTAATCGCAAACTCATCCTGCGCTCTCCCTCGCATACGTGCCGCCCTCGCGCCTCGTAGACCCACCTTCGTCCTCGTCCTCGTCCTCATCCTCGTCCTCGTCCTCGTTCTCGTCTACGTTGCATTCTGCCTCATACCACCAGCCGCAGCCGTTGCTGGTTATCAATCCGGAATCAACGCGAGGGTATTCTCCACAACGGGGATGAAGTTGCCGGATGGATCTACCGAAAAAGAAGATTATCTGTTAACGCGTCACCGAGAGAGAGAGATAGAGATAGAGAGAGAGAGAGAGAGAGAGGGGGGGGGGGATTATCCATAGTAATAAATAAGGGTGTATCTTCGGGAAGGTTAGCACTAAAACGCGCCGCGTGCTTATAACTTTCCGGCGAGAAAAATAAGGGGCGGGGATTAGACCAGGATTCAAACCTGGAACCTCCCGCTAGCGACTGCGCTTCCTACACGAAGAGAGATTTCTCTTAGAATTCATTCTGAAAATCATATAATCGTAGAACAACGCGGCATTTCGAAGAATTTTATGAGTTTCTTGAAATGTTACCATACATTTTACCAGTAACTGTACTTGGTTTAATTTACTAGTGAAATGTATGGTGAAAGTTCACAAAAACTCTTATAAACCCTTGCAGAAATGTAACAACTGGGAACGAAGAAAAGCACTGGGCAATTATTAGAGCTCGGCAATTGAATTATTAGAAATTACTGATGTACAGTAATCTCGAGTAATTATTGCGCTTACATTTCCACAAGGGAAGTTGTTTAAAACTAGTAATTATACTTAATGTGTACACTTTACTAGTGAAATGTATGGTAAAATTTCCAGAAACCCTTAAAAGGTTGTTCAAAATGCCGTGTTGCCTCACGATTACACGAATTTCAGGGTGAATTCTAAGAAAAAAACCTCTCCGTGCACCGAGCTCTATCCCACACGACTTACACTACTTCCTCTTGCGCTCGCCCATTTTGTTTCGCGAAATAATGTAGGGATAATAATGAGATTATGTCGAGAAAGAGAGTAGCCCGCAATCGTCCTTCCCCCCCCCCCCCCCCGGCTGGGCATACGACAAAGCGCACCGGGGTGTATTGACGGCGATGGTTTAAGTGCCTCGAGGGCGCCAGCGGGAAATATCGACGTTGGACCGGGGGCCACGTGCAGGTGTATGATTAATGCCGCGGCGCCACAACACACGCCGCAGAGATATCGCATGCGGAAATTGATTCTAATGAGGCCTCACGCGAGAGAGAGGATCCCGTCCATCCGGCGATCGGTGATCGTTTCCTATCGGTGTGAAATGCGCTTGTCCCCGCTTTGATCTCGCCCGGGGCTAACTTTGATCAGACATTATTTACACGGGAGCGCCGGCGCGCGTACAGAGTGCGCCGCGGTTTCGGTTTCGTTGCTCGAAAGCGCCTGGCGGCTTCCCGAATGGAAACGTCTATTTCTTCCGAGTAGATGGGACGAGCTCGCCCGATCCGCCCGAGATCAAAGCGATCTTTTCGGATACGAGAGTATCTCGCAGTTTCCGCTTAAACGCACGTCAAAAAGCGACAACGATTATTCGACTGCAGGAGGTAAAACGCGGCAATTGTGTGGAACCTGTTTTGCCTCGAAACTTCGATCGCCAAGTTTTACTCGAAATCAACTATGAACAGTGTCCTCGATCGTTTCTTTTTTTTTTATCAGCTAACAGAAAGACCACTTTGCCGGCCCTCGCAGCCGTGTCGAGAGACTCGACACTCGCTAAAAATTATATTGGCTTGAATGCGGTTTCCGGTCTCCGATCGACCGGAAGGGGATCTCTTCGGTTTTACGCGAATTTCATTTACTCCCAAGTCGCTTGGATGATCCCGCTCGACGATGATCCGTCGCGATCTCTCGCGAAAGCAAGTTCCGCGCGACGCTCTCTCGCGCACCGTCTCAGCGGATCCCCGAGATCGTTTTTCGCCGCGCGAGAAGGATACACATTGCGCGCGGATCCGTCATCGGGATCGCGGCGAAGATACCACGGAGAAAGATAATCAATCGGGGCGCGCAGGGTAAACCGGTATCTTATCAAAGTTCGCCCATCTTCGCGAAACTTGCCTGCGTCCTCGTCTCCCAGGACGCCGGGCGTGCAATGGGGATCGCGCGGAGAGCGAGAGAGCGCGCCCGCCTATCCGAGGACGGGGCAGATCGTATGTGTAACCCGCGCGCAGGATATGCGGAGGAGGAGGAACAGAGGGCGAAAGGGATGAACGGAAGGGAAGAAGGGATGCTGGTAGACTCCGCGCGCTAACTTTCGCGTCCGCGTGCTCGCGGCTCCGCCAGAGGCAACTTTGTCGATCAGAGTTGCGAAGGAGATTTCCAGTTATATCGGCAGTGCCACCCTGTAGATACCTCCGCAGGAACGGTCGTGGACCTCGTGGCGGAAGGGTTGAATACGTCAGCGGGATAATGCGGGCTTGTTTCCGCCGCGGGGTTACTTTCGCGTTCTTCGTCGCGGCGTCATTCCCGGCGATTCGATTTGTCTCCGCCGATACGACTCGATTAGTCCTCGACGTTTTAATCGGAAGAAGCGGCAACTTTCTACTCAACTTTGCTGTTTTGAGATTACAATCAATCGTCACGACAAAGCGACTACTCGCAACTGCATCAGGGATCTTCGCCACAGTTCCCCTAGCGGAAACATTTCTATAAATAACTACAAAAATTAACTTGAAATAGAAATTTGTAGAAAGTTTTTATTTCCTTGATGCAATAACGACAAATAACGATTTTGATGTCGTTGCCATCATTTTGACTAGACTGTTTTCACTGGGTAGAATCTATAAATTACCAACCATCCTGCAAAATGCTAATTTAAGAGACTTAATTTATCCGAAAAAATCTTTACAAAAGAGAAAAAATACGC